GCCCCCTCATTGCCCTCAATATAATGAAGTGTGAGGGACCACCCCTAAAAGTCTAAAGTCTAAACTAAAGACCACCCTATCGGACCGGTGGAGGGTTACAACAGTTTACTAGTTTCAATCTGAAAGTCAAATAGCATTGTTGCTCATATAAATATAGGTTGACTTTATATTAAAAATATATACGAGGTTATTCTGAACGTAGTATTAATTAAGTTTGTACACAATTTGAAGCTAATGACAGTGTGATAAGGTTTTTTTTTTTAATCGGGAATTACTGCAATTCTAAACAAAAACTTAAATTCAACTGTCCTAAGATATAATACCAGTACTATAAATGAACACTGATTTCATGTCGTAGAGAGAGGCTAACGAAATCTTCCTTGGAAACCAAAGAATGTCAAACTCAATAAAGATGAAGGATGTATGAATTAATTTGAATTTTGCGTTTCCACTTTAAAGATTAATTTAATCACGAAATTAAAAAAAATTATGAAGTAATTTAGCAAAAGAATCAATCAAGAGTTCAATTTTAATTTAACGTCGAACTGAAAGTTTATGAGCTTGTTATATATGGAGCTTCACTTAAAATCACTTTCAATGGCTCTGAACTCTGAACTTAGGAGTTAGCCTGTTGTTAATTTCCTTAAACATGGGGGACATGGATTTTAATTTTGTCGGTGCATTTGTTGCAATAATAGAGACCGCGGCAAATTATAGTAAAATGAAAAAGTGACTAATGAAAAGACAAATACACCATTCTCACTAAATCTGTGTATTTATTAAATAAGGATAAATATGTAATTTTTAAGAAAAGATAAAATTTTAACGGGAAAGTGAAAAAAACTAGAGGTCAAGAAGACTCCACATCACTCACTATCTTTTTTCGCTATTTTCTTTCACTATACATGTCATTTTCCTTGTTTTATTCGTTTAAGTAGGGCCATTTAGATAAAGGAAAATAGAGCAGAAAACACACACAAGATAATCATTTACTTATTAGATTGATACTCATCAGCTGTCAGCATAAATTTTGATGTTGATATCTATGCTACGCAAATTCTTCAAAATCCCGGATGTTAATTTTGTTTGCTTTACGGTAAACACGTTGCCTAAACAACTAACAACCATACCTCGTTGATCATATAATCAGATTACTCCTTCCATCTCAAAATAATTTTAGAACAAAAGTAATTAAACTCAATTTCTATATTATATATATATATATATTCCCAACAATATAAGTCGAATCCTTAAAAAATATCTTAATGACTTGGGATTGATTAATTTGTTCTACAAACTTTTAAATGGCGGGGTTGATTAACTTCTAAGTATGATATCATAAGCCAGCTCCCAGGACTTATAACTCCAATTTTTTTCACTATATATATACTAGTGATGTTGCGCGGCCCTGGCCCAATATATATGTAGATCTTAGAAATGTTTGTATTTGGAAAAAAAAATATTTTGTATTTGGCCCGATATATTTTAAAAATATTTGAAGAATTTTAGAAATGTTTTATAATTGTGATGTTTGTATTTGGCAAAAAAATAAATTGTATTTGGCCCGGTACGTTTTAGAAATGTTTGAAGATTTTAGAAATATTTTATAAGTGTTATTTCTTAAATATAAATAAACTTGATCAAATATATGTCTTGAAGTAAATGCTAGACAAAATATAAAAGCATCCTAATAAGTTTAAATATTAGTAAGATAATTTATTGATGTTCTCCATTGGTTGGGCCAAATCAATACTTAGTTTTGGAAATTTATAATAACTTTGTAGTTGGCTTCCTCCAAAGGATATACGCTTAATTGTTGGAACTATTTCTTCCAAAAATTTATAGGTAGTAAAATATCAAAAATATGATTTTGAAACTGGTTAATTGTTGAAACTGGTTGATCACAAATATGAGAATGAAAATAATGTAAATTTGCATAGGTTTCAAGATATAGCAAAAAAGAACTCACCTCACCATGGGAAATAAATAAAAAAAGGTAAAAGATAGCCCATTAAAATTTAAAAATTTTTAATTTCTTTTCTATAGGTAAAAATGATGTATAAAAACACAAATAAACGTAAAAAACATCATTCTTTCCCTCTCCACCTCAAATTCATAAAAGGATTTCCCATAAATTAGTTAAAAGAAAAGACCCGAACTATTTATATGATGAGGAACTAAAAAAAAGTCCAAAAACCAAATCCAAAAAAGTATATTCTTAAAATCTCGAACACAAAAAAAGAAACATGCTTTATTTGTAAATAAAATAATAATAATAATAATAATAATTGGTCAACTGGAAGTATGAAACAAAATCAAAAGTAATTAAACAAAGAAAAAACACACTTCATAATTGGCCATATACCGAAAAAAACCTGAGACTCCATAATTAAAAAAAAAACAATCTAATTGAATGAAACATAAAAAACAAATTTAAAAAACCAAACTTTGTAACAAAAACCCAATCAATCAATTCAATCCAAACATAACTAAAATCATACACAAATTCTAAGCTAACTAACTAAATAAGAAATCACATCATACTACCTGACAACGGCTACGATAGTTGTAACGGATGGATGCATAAAAATAATAGTAATAACACTATTCTTGAACGGGAAAAATAAAAAATAATAAAAACTAAACCAATGATCTGTGAAAATAAAATCATTTAAATTTTAATACCTGTAATGGCACCACCACAACGGCCGAAGCAAGATCAATGAGAATTTTTTTTTTCCTTTGTGTTTATATAGAGAGCTAAAGAGAATATTTTTTGAAGTTGAAATTTTATCCGATTAAGATGTAGTTGATCATCACTAATGAAAAGATTGAACATGCTAATAGGAAAGGAGTATATTTCACCATGTATTCTCAATTGATGATTGATGAGGAATTTTTTTTTTTAAATTGTGGAGAAGGGATTGATTAAGGAGTCGATTGTTGTGGAGATGAGGATGAGAATTTGGGTTTTTTATGAACTTATGATTTTTTTTTGTTTGTTTTGACGAAAATAGGAGGTGGAAGTGAATTTAGAGTGCATTTGCCTTTTAAATTTAGGAGATGTGATAATAACATTTTATTTTAAAAATATGATGTGGAAATTCCACATGGCAAATGATGGTAGTTTCTCTTAAGTGTGGTTTTTATTTCTTAAATTTAGGAGATGTGGTAATAAAAATTTATTTTAAAAATATGATGTGGAAATGCCACATGGCAAATGATGGTGATTTCTCTTAAGTGTGGTTTTTGTTTATAATATAGTAAGATATATAATATAAAAAACAAAAAATAAAATTGTGGTTTATTTTCGAAAAGAACAATTTCAATAAGCTGTCAACCAACTGCAACTAACAAATTTCCATCTTATTGATCTTTATTTATCTTAAACTAATTTCCATATGTCTCTGCATTATCCGATGATTATTGGACATGTGATGTACGGTTTGAATAAGTCGATTAGTTATTACGTTATTGAGTTGGGGAGTTTATCATCAATTTGAGCTGATCAGAGTTGCTACTTGCTACTACTTCTTAATAACGTAGAAATAATGTTAATGTTATGTTTGTTTAAAGTTGGAGCAGCTGCTGAAAAAAACTATTGCAATAAGCTTGCTTACGAATTGATATGATGACAATTAAATTATGATAATGTGAATCATAAGTATTATGGACTGCATTGGCGAAGCTAAGATTGTAAGAGTAGAATATTTTTTTAAAATTATTTACACTAAAATTTTTAATGAAGAGATTAAAATCTACCACTACCTATGGGGCATGGATGAAGAGATTATTCGTCCATCTGAATAATAGTACAGTAGAATGAAATTGTAGAGATGTACATATATAGAATAACAATTAGCTTATTGAGCTGATAGAAAATCAAAGGCAATATCCGAATGAATGATGAGGCGTGTGTAGTGTAGGAGTATTAGTTTTAGACTAGAATAAAGGGGAAAAAAGGCTATAATAAGGGGAAAAAAATGAAAGACACAAAAAATTTATTGTTTTATGTACACAATTAATGTTTTTATTACATTCATAAAGACACATAATAACAGCAATAAAAGTAGGTGAATTGTATGAAGTTCAAATGAGAGATCCAATCAGTTCACACTCACAAAAATAAAATAAAAATTTAGTAAGTTTTAGAAAAATGTTAATGGCTGACCAATAAATCAAATCCAATGGATGCAATTAATTGGTTTGGATTTCAACATATCATAAGGTATTATTGTTGTTTTCCCTTATAAATCAAAGGGAAATCAAGTTGGGTAATGAACATTATTATGCCACTTAATTTAAATATATCCGGGGTTTTTGCATAAAAATCACAGACATTAGTTGTGTCCCTTATTCATTGTCTATTGTGTACTATAAATGCAACACAAATGGTAAATAATCTGTTATTTGATGAATTTTAGTATTCATGTAATTGGGTGTTATGTAAAATCACATCACAGATTCTCAAATCTACCACGCAATTATTATCTGTCTCCTATAATAAAATTTATGAGGGATTTAATTCTTAATAAATAAGTATATTCGATATTGTATCACAAATTATTATAACAAGTTTTTTAAAAATGATAAATCGAATTATTAAAGGAAAATTGGAGAGATCAATATCCATCATGTTTTTTAAGAATAATAATAATAAAAAAATAGGGCCTAAGAGCTAGCTAGCTACTGAGCCTAGGCGTAGCCAATGGGAGAAATCAATATCCCATCCATCATGTTTTTGTTTGGAGTTCAGTCCAGTTTTAGTTATTATTGTTCTTCCGCCCGCTTCCAACAGAGGCGCCCACTGCCCGCCAGTAAAACTCTGTTACACTTTCTACGGTTACTTTCATTCATTCAGTTTTTTTTTTTTTTTGAAAAAAAAAAGTGGACTTTTTACCCTCTTTTTTTTTCGCCCTTTTTATATTTTTGATAATTATAAAAAAAAGCTATAAAAAGTACTACTACATTTAATTGGGTTAAAAAAAGGACTTCAGACAGAGTTATCAAAATTTTCCACTTTTATCTCTTTTCTCTCTCTGTCTCACTCTTTTTCCGAAGCGACGCATCATTTAGCAAGAAAATAGAAAAAGAAATAAATCTGACTCATAAATTGCTTCTCTCTCTCTCTCTCTCCTGCAGAGAAAAACACTATTAACAGCTAACATGGATGGATGCACACAGTCACACAGTCACTCAATTCCGATACGCATCGCTATAGTACTACTCTTCCTACTATAAATACTCTTATTAAAAAAAAAAAATTCATTTCAGAATTTCTTTAATACTATTTGGTCTCCTCTCTTTCTGTGTTGTTGTTAGTAGTGAATCTCAATCAATCAACGCGTGGCTCTTCCGAAGCCTCCGATCTTTACTCTGAAACAAAGGGGGCACGGAGAAAGAGAAGAGAAGAGAGAGAGAGAGTGTGTGTGTGTGTGTGAGTGTGTGTGATTATTCTCACAGAGGGAGAAGAACGCCCAATTTACGTAAAAAGGAGGGAAGAAAAAATTAGAAAAGCAAAAAAGATGGATGGTGGTTCAAGATTTACAAAACCCTAATCTATCAAAGTCTTATCCATTTCATTTCCCCCCCTCTTCCTTGGACCTTCTTCGTCGTCGTCCTCCTCGTCTCCCTGTATGTTTCGTGTTTCTACTGCTTCTCTCTTTTTTTTTTTTTTTGGTTCTGTTTCCAGATCCATTTCAGTGACTGTCAATTTTGTTGTCAGTTATTGCTGGCTTTTATGTGTGTATGCTTTAATTCGGTTATTTAATGTCGGGTGTCGGGGTGTTAGGTTTTTGATTTCCTAATTTGTTTGTGTTTAAGGTGAGTTTGTTGTGTTTATGAAGATCTACTTGTGTGCCCCTGTTTCATTCTTTCCTTGTTTTCTGGTACCTGGATCCCCCCTACTGTTATGCTGCATTTAATTTAACTTGCTTTTACAGTTTTCAGGTGCCGGTTCTGAATTTAAGAGCTAACTGCCTCTAATCGGACACACAGTTAATCACTACACCTTATTGTAGCCTGATTTTATGTGTGTAGAGATTGACCTTCTTTGTTCATTCTTGATTATTTTAGTTGGTGGTTGTCATTTTTCTCTCTTTCTTTTTTTGTGTCTTTTACTTGGAGTAAATTAGATGTCCCCCAAGCTTGGTTGACTTTTGGAGTCTCTGTTTTAGTGTTCATGAGATATTTCATTTTTTCCCCTTTTCTGGATAATGTAAGTTTAATTTGTGATTGTGAATTTGAAGTTCTTTTGGAATTTTTAGTAGTTAGCCCTTTCCTAAGATATGCTAATATGGGAAGATATTGGCTTTATTGATGATGGTTTCCATTTGATGTTTTACTCTCTGTTAGGTTCAGTTGGACATTGAAGCGAGAAGAGCCTTTTGCACTGTGCTTGTTACGAAGTTTTACCTGGCCATGGTTGGTAATTTATGCTTCTTGGAGATTTAAATTCAAGGCTGGTTTTCAAGGATATTCATGGTGTAAACATGTTGCTGGAAGAGTGTTATGATGAGAGAATATCTTAATTTGGGCATTGAGGTGGTTTTTAAGTGAGCTCTTCTAGCTTCAGAGGAGTTTTATTTGTAGGTGACCACTGGTTTGTACTGTTCATAATTTTTGCCAGTTGGTCTGGTTGCAGTTCTGTCGGATCTATAGATTTTTCCTTGATTCACATTTTGTGCAAAGATAAAGGACGGATATGATGCTCAAATTTCTGATGATCTATAATTAAGTGGCTGCGGTTATCAGACACGTTTCTTGTTTAGTTGATCAGACAACTGGGATTCATCTTGCCAAGAATTGCATTTCTGATCCCTAGTTCAATACCCTTTTCTCCTTCTCCACCAATGTGTTTCTGCAGTTAAGAATTGGGACATTAGGATTTGGGAGCTCTGTTTATTTTGTTTGAATCACTATCATGGAGGCCGAGGCATTGTCTGAAAACCGCCGGCCAAACACTGGTCAGCATCTGTTTCCAGCTGTTGTCCCAGTACTTTTTGTTGCAATGGGCTATGTTGATCCTGGGAAGTGGGCTGCAGTCGTTGACGGTGGTGCCCGCTTTGGTTTTGATCTGGTGTTGCCAGTTTTTATCTTCTGTTTAGCTGCCATTCTGTGCCAGTACCTATCAGCACGCGTAGCTGTAGTTACTGGTAGAGATCTTGCGCAGGTATGTATTTACCTTATTCCTCATAGTACCAAGTTGCTGAATGCAGTAATATTTTTGAATCGACGATGTGTTTCCTGTTATCTTAAAGTCTATCTGCTATGTTTTTTTATTTCTGGTACTTGCTTTTAAAAAAGAACTAAGAATCTTTGGTATACAGCACCACAAAAAATACAAAGTGTTTAAATTTTAAAGTGAAAGAGATTGTTCACTGATGATTACTTGTTGAAGGACATCATTCTTGTTAACCCTTAATCTCTTTTTTGCTAATGCTCCTACATTATGTTTCTCTCATTCTGCATCAGTGGTTTATGGAGATTGTATTGCTGATCTTCCTTTTTCAGTTGATTGAGCAACTGATACTTAAAGATCAAAGTTATTGTGCTGAATTACTTTTGGTATAGCCTGTTAAAGTAGCTTACTAATAGCGGATTTACTCGTTCTTCTAGTTCATATTCTTCACCTTTTTTTTTTTGTTTTACAGAAGTTTAAGTCACTATGATTTCTTTTCTCTAACTATTATTTCAATATTCCATTGCTCCATCTGGGCAACTGGTTGACAACTTCTCCTTGATGTCAAGATTTGCAGTGAGGAATATGACAAGATAACTTGCATTCTTTTAGGAGTTCAAGCTGAGGTTTCAATGATTTCCTTGGACCTGATGATGGTAATTTTCAAGTTGTTGGTCAGGAATTTTATCTTTTGCTCTTACGGCAACTTTAATGGATCTCTTTCATGGCAGGTTTTGGGAACAGCTCATGGGCTCAATGTTCTATTTGGGATTGACCTTTTCGCTGGTGTCTTTCTGTCAGCATTTAATGCCTTCCTGTTTCCCCTTCTGGCAACAGTCATTGTAAGACTTTTTTTCAGTGTCTTTATAATGTACTTGATTGTTGTGTTTTGCAATACTGATGCTTATATTCAAATGCTTTTTTTTTTTCCTTGCAGGAGGATAGCAAAGCCAAGTTTGTGTCTGTTTCCTTCTCAATAGGTATTTTACTTTTCTATGTTCTCGGAGTATTCATAAGTCAACCAGGAAATACACTCTCTGCGGGATGGACCGCGACTAGATTAAGTGGTGAAACTGCCTTTGCTTTGATGAGTCTCCTGGGAGCAAACATTATGCCTCACAATTTTTACCTGCATTCAGCTGTTGTCCAGGTCTCTCTCTCTCTCTCTCTCTCTCTCCTCTCTATATGCACACGTTCAATACCTTTTGTTATTATGTGTAGCTGACATCTGCATTGTAATACACGAACTGTGGGTTTCTTCTCCTACAGAAACATGGAAAGTTTCCTTATTCTTTATATTGAACCATCCTTGCAGCAGGATCAGAGGGCAGCAGGTGCTCCCAAGGAAGCTTTGTGTCATGGCCATCTTTTCGCCACAGTATGCGTGTTCAGTGGCATTTTTCTGGTGAATTATGTGCTTATGAGCTCAGCAGCTAATGTGTTCTACAATTCTGGCCTTGCTTTACTTACATTTCAGGATGCACTATCCTTGATGGATCAGGTTTTTTTTTTGTTCTTCATATTTTACTTAATAAACACACTTGCTTATTAGGAATGCTCATAAAGTGGGTTGCATTTTGTCATGCAGGTATTCAAGAGTTCGATTGCCCCACTGTCTTTAATACTGCTTATGTTCCTTTCTAGTCAAGTGACAGCATTGACCTGGAACCTTGCTGGACAAGTAGTTGTGCATGATTTGTTTAAAGTGGATATTCCTGGATGGCTTCATCATTTCACCATCAGAATCATTGCAATCATTCCAGCACTTTACTGCGTGTGGAGTTCAGGAGCTGAGGGAATCTACCAGATGCTGATATTCTCACAGGTGGTAGTGGCTCTCATGCTTCCATCTTCGGTTATTCCTCTCTTCCGAGTAGCCTCCTCAAGGCCAATAATGGGTGTGTATAAAGTCTCTCAGTTCATAGAATTTTTAGCTCTGATCACCTCTATTGGCATGCTGTTGCTTAAGATTATGTTTTTCATTGAACTGGTATTTGGTAGTAGTGATTGGGTGAGCAATTTGAGGTGGAACATTGGAAGTGGTGTGCCTATAGCTTATGTAATTTTGATTGTTGCTGCTTCTGTCTCCTTCTTTTTGATGCTTTGGTTGTTAGCCACTCCTTTAAAATCTGCTACTGCCAGAATGGATTCACAGATAATGGATTGGGATATCCATAGTCCTTTGCCCAATTCACTGATGGAGGTAGAGCAGAATGGGCCGTGTGCTTCTGAATATCTGTTAGCAAAACCTACAAATGAGAAAGATCTGCCAGTCACTTTTGAGAATTCCCTTGGGAGCCATCCAGATTTATTCACCTCAAGTCCTAATCTTAACTTGCCTGATACGCTTTTTGATTCTGAGAATGCTATTCATCCAAGAAGTGCTGAGGATAACAAATCAGATATTATATTGTCAACTGCCACACGCGCCCAAGAACCACCCGTTGTTGAGGCTGATATAAGTTTGGTGAAATCTAGCCATTTTGAAGTTTCTGATTGTGAAAAGAAGAATGTTAGTCCGTTGGAAACCGAAACAAGAGAACCAGAAGAAAAGACACTGAGAATTGAGGGAGAAATTGAAAGTGTGAAGGATGATGGAGATTCTTGGGAGTCTGAAGAACCTATCCGAGAAGTTTCTGAACCTAACCAGTCCTTGTCATCTGAGGGTCCTGGATCATTTAGAAGTTTGAGTGGGAAAAGTGACGATGTTGGTAGTGGTACGGGGAGCCTCTCAAGGTTAGCAGGGCTAGGTCGTGCAGCTAGGCGCCAGTTCGCAGCTATTCTTGATGAATTCTGGGGGCAGATGTTTGATTTCCATGGACAAGCCACTCAAGATGCAAAGGCTAAGAAGGTGGATGTTTTACTGGGTTTAGAAGTCAAAATGGATTCAAAGACGACTTCACCATCAGCTAAGATTGACAGCAGCAGCCCCAGGCAAGATCTTACTGGATATTATCCATCTCTCAGCATGCAGGGATCTGATTCATTATTAAGTTCAGGTTTATACAGTTCGCCAAGACAACAGATTGGACAAGGCATGATCGAGTCTTCTTTTGGGGTCCAGAGGGGTTCATCTCCTTTGTTGTCATCTCACGCTCAACTCTTGGATGCATATGTTCGAAGTTCCAGTCGCAATACTTTTGACGCTGGAGAGAGACGGTATTCTAGCATGCATATTCCTGCATCTTCAGAATGTTATGACCAACAGCCAGCTACTGTACAAGGCTATGAGCTTGCCTCATATTTTAATCGGGTATCGAAAGATAGAAGTTCTGGCTTCTCAAGTGTTCAAAATGAGTTACCTCCACCAAAATCTCTATCCTCAGTTTCTTCACATTTTAGAGATTCAGCATCTCGTCCTTTAGTCAAAAAAGCCCAGAATGGAATGAGTATTTTGACTCCTCCTGGTTTTCACAATGTATCCAGGAATAATTCATTACAATCAGAACGATCAAGTTATGGTGTTTCGTCTCCAAAACCTACTGAAAACTTTAATAATTCTGCTACTGAAAAAAAGTTTTACAGTATGCCTGACATTTCTGGTCTGCGGATCCCCTATCGAGATTCTGGATTGCCGGATAAAAGTGTGAAGTGGGACAGTTCTGTGAAATATGGGCAGTCAATTGGATATTCTGCCTTAGATAGGAACTCTCTTACTCCCATGTCAAGGCCAGAAGTTCCTCCGGGATTTGGTGCACCTTCATCAAAGGTGCGTAGAGATGCTTTCTCATTGCAAATGAGTTCAGGTTCAAGCACTGGTTCCCTCTGGTCCCGCCAGCCTTATGAGCAGTTTGGTGTTGCTGATAAAACCAATGCTGACGGTGAACAGAAAGAAGTTCCATATGCACACGAAACTCCATCAGCAGTTGATTTGGAAATAAAGATTCTTCAGTCATTCAGAAATTGCATTATGAAACTTCTGAAGCTTGAGGGATCTGATTGGTTGTTTACTCAGAATGACGGGGTTGATGAAGATCTTATTGATCGTGTAGCTGCGAGAGAAAAGTTCCTATACGAAGCTGAAACTGTGCAGATGAACTGGCGAAATAATGCTGGTGAAGCTCATTTTTCTTCCGAGAGGAAGTCTGGTTCTGCAGTGATTAGTGATGAGTCTGATCCTACAAAGTTGATGGTGACATCAGTTCCTCATTGTGGAGAGGGTTGTGTTTACAAAGTAGATCTTATTATAAGCTTCGGTGTTTGGTGCATCCATAGGATACTTGTGCTTTCACTTATGGAAAGCAGGCCAGAGCTTTGGGGCAAATACACCTATGTACTTAATCGTCTCCAGGTTAGAATGGATAAATAATCTCTTTCCCCACTTTGTGAATTTTTTACTCTCTGTTTATCTTTATGTGTGTGCAGTGGTCTTGTATCTTTGTGTAATGCGCTTCTGTTTTGCATTCACTGCAGGGGATCATTGATTTGGCATTTTTCAGACCTCGTAACCCATCAACTCCTTGTTTTTGCCTTCAACTAACATCTGGGTGGCAGCAGAAAATGAGTCCACCTATTTCAAATGGAAGCTTGCCCCCACAATCCAAACAGAGCAAGGGGAAGTGTACAACTGCCACATCACTTTTGGAGATAGTGAAAGATGTTGAAACTGCCATTTCTTGCCGGAAGGGCCGAACAGGAACTGCCGCGGGTGATGTTGCTTTTCCTAAAGGGAAAGAGAATTTGGCATCTGTCCTTAAGCGATACAAACGCCGGTTATCAAATAAGCCAATAGGATCTCAGGATGGTGGCTCAGGATCACGCAAGGGTTCATCTCTACACCATGGCTTATAACCGATGTTTCCTGTTCATAGCAGCTTGCTGTCTAATTGCTGGGTTGCTTAAAACTAAATAGCACAGGTGTGCTGTTGCTGTGAACGCTTTTTTGGTGACCCCCTCACTTCCCTGAGGTTGGCATTACATCTTTGATGCGGTGTGACAATTGTCGTGCGAGTCAGGTATACATAGGGTAAAATGCATTAGAAGTGTATTTTACTGCAATGAAGGAAAGGACAGAGAAGAAGGTGGGAGGTGAATGGAGTACGAATGCAAGTCCGACTTAATCAACTTGGAACAATAAGATCACTTTCTATTGTAATTGTAGTTTGAATCTGCGGATGGATGGGTGGGGGTTGTCTGGAAGTTTGTGTTCTTTCTTCTATCCCCTTGGAGCAGGAAGTGAGTCGGCTGTGGTACTTGTTGGTACTGAGCAGGAATTGTAAATATTTTTGAAGTTCAAACCTCTTTGAAACACATTTCAGAAGTAGTTTTACCATAGTTTTCACTTAGGAAAAGGTGTCAGTAGAGGATGCTTATACACATGGCTTCTTAATTTCCTGGTTGCACCCGGGCTTATTATGCGTTAGAGGTGCGTTGTATACGGTATGATCTGGTTCTCTCTTGTATAATGTTATGGGTGCGACGTGGATTTTCATTATTATTAGTCCAGCCTCAGTTCATTTCCCCCTTAAAGTTTTTTTTTTTTTCATAGGAAGGAAGCTGTTAGCTTAAATACCCTTAATTCATATCCCCCTTAATCTAACAACTTTGCAATCACCCTGCACCTTCAGGCCCGACCCAGCCCAGAAAGAACAAAGAATGGGCTATTTCTAGCTTTCGATGAGATTTACTTGTTGATGAATCTTTTTTTTCCTTTTCTCAGGGATGGAGAGTTTTTTTTTTTGGAAATGGTAGGGATGGAGAGTTGAGTTAAAACATTTTAAATTCAAAAACATTGAGAAAAGAGAGTAAAAAGAAAATGTAGAAAAGTAGGATATGTGGCCTGTATTTACGTTACAGAAACCAGCTGAAGATGACAACGTAATTGTAAACCCTCGCCTGGTTCCTTTCCACCTTTTGGAGCATAACACCGTATACTCTTGTTTGTTCTACTAGTATAATTTATCGTCTAACTTTTAGTCAAAGAATTTCCGTTTTTTTTTTTTTTCTTTAGTTATTCTTTCTTCGTACGCATCACCAATTCACCGCATGTTCTGTGAGTAAAAGATTTTATTTAAATGAGGTAATAGTCTCTAAATCGGAAGTATTCATCAAAAGCAAAAAAATGGGGGTGTCGGCCGAAACTTGTGCGCATCGGGCTAAAACGTTAAAAAGATATATAGTCATAAAGATGTTGCAGTAATTAGGCATTTACGTGGCGTAACCTAATCATCGCTTCAGTGATTCACAACTGGCTCACTTTTTTTTTCTTTTGGCTCACACGTAACCGAAACAGGTCTCAATTTTCTTCTGCCCCTCTGTAGCAATTGTTTGTTTGTTTTTTTTTTTGTTTTTTTCCTTATTACAATATTAATTAATAATTTTATCATTAGTATATTTCTCCCCTTCCTTTGCGTACGTTGGTCTCTGTGGGACTTAGGAAGTGTCTAGTTGAAACATAAGCTAGTAGTAGCTTTAAGCTCTCATTTCAAGTTGCAGAATTCTGATCGGGATTTGATTCAGCGGCAGGAGGACATCGGAGTAACTTGTAAGAACTTTTTTGATTTTCCAATTTCTTCATTAATACCCCAATTCTTGAGAACCCTTGTCATAGTTCCCCTGTTTATAATAGCTTATGGCTGAGATTTCATTTGAATATCCTGTAGTTCGCTTCTATTTTTCGGCTCAGGCCCCTCGATCTTTAATGCTTTCACCTAATGTTTCAGGTAAATTAAATTATCAGATCAATATAATAAAGATCCCCCCCATAAGAACAACTCAATTATACATATAAACTGATTACATTTGTTGGGCTCGATACAAGTTTGCAAGTACTAATAGTTTGTAATCGACAGAAGTAGACCCTAGAATGTCAGGGTTACAGTCTCTTCCATAATAAACTATGACCATGACTATCCTGTTGTAGAATAGCGGCAAAGCACCAATTTGCAGTAACAGTTTTCTTGACAGAAGATAACCTCCTCTTTTTTTCTTTTTTTTTTTTTTGTTGCCCTTTTTGGAATTGGCGTAGACTGTGTATTACTAGACCTTAATTCTTAAACATCCTATTTATGGAATTGGGGCCTCCAACGAAAAAGGCTTTCATAATTTTTTGTTAGTTTTAATGATTGGATATAAGATCTCATCATCTTGAATTTGTTGGTTTTAGTCTTTTTGCTGGAACATAATTCCTGTGGTTCGAGTTTCGACTTTTTCTAGGTTGTTTATCATCCAAAGACTTAAAAATTTTTCTGTTGTGACATTGATGGATTATATTAATAATAATCATAATAATAATGCAGGAAGAGACAATCTGATCACATCGTGTAGATTAAATTGGCAGCAGCAAGCCATGGGATATGTGATTGTGATATCGTTGCCTGTGATTCTGCTATTCTTAATAGCAGCCATTGCTTGTTACTTAATTGGCAGGGCAAGAGGCCGACAAGAAGCGGCAAATGCCACACTTCCACAATACTATGGGCCTCCGCCTCCGGCACCTCCCGTTGGAGCCACCAATTATTCTCCCGGAAAATAGTTCATCAACCGCAACCACAATTTGGTATTCTGTAGTATATTGTACATACATTTCTTGTTTTGAATCGTGATTGTGTAAGATAATTAAATCCGCAAGTAGCTTTGCTGCGGCTTTGTTTGGTTACTCTCTTCATCATTACAGAACAATATTGAAAGCAGTCTATACACATCTCATTGATGAGATTCATTGAAGAAGTTGTTGTAAATGCAGTCGCCCACGATGAGCATATGTTTTGAGACAGCTTTTTTTTTTTTTTTTTATAATTTCGTTGGAAAGAAACATTGAGAGAATTGAGTAGCTGGGGACTTTAATTTGATGGCTACTTGGAATAGATGATTTGATATCACTCTGCTAAGAATATAAACTTATTAGTAAGTCAGTCATAGTGGTGGCGGTGGTGCTAATCGAACTCATCATATTCAATAAGTTTGGTGGTGGTAGTTGACAATTGAAAGATTATTGGAGAGTCTTTGAGACCCAAATTCAAGTGCTAAATGTAGTAGTGATCGATCCACTAATTTTACTTGAGCCTTTGGCCACCACCAACAAAGGTTTTTAAAGATTTGGAGTCGATGTTGGTTCCGTCAGAAAATCTCAGCATAGACCTAATGTACATTCATTTAGGTATTCTAAAAATTCCAACAAGATTAGGCAGACGATTCTGTCCAAATGCATGCCTCATTTCTCCCTTGCGAAAATTTGTAGTTTTTTTGTAGTACTTAGATTAGTAAATTACTCCATCTATTCTAAAATAAGTGTCGTTTTAGTAAAATAGAGAAATTTTAAAATAAGTGTCGTTCTCACATTTCAATGCACTTTTTGTCAAAAGTTTCTAAAATTACTCTCAAAAGAATTGATGCTATTGGTGGATAATTTTATAATGGGGTTGGTTGAGGATATTCAAGTAATTTTATTACCCTATTTAAGAGTTTCTTAAACTATGTACAAAGTGTAGGACGACACTTATTTTGGAATGGAGGGAGTATTTCCTTTATTATCAAATAAGAAAGTGTTAAAAAAATTCTAACATTCAGTATCATTGATTCTAATGCAATTTTTGGCCGAATTTTTCAAACTTGCCTTATTTCTTTTAATGGGGTAGGTTAAAGATATTTTAATAATTTACCTATCTTATTTACAGTTTCTTTGATTGTGCCTAAGTCATTTAATGATATTTATTTTAGAATAAAAAGAGTATGATTTTTTTTTTGAAATGAAGAGAATATAAGTCATAAATAAGATAGTATTTTAACAAGAATAACATAGATAGAAATCTACAAAACTATATTGTATAAGTATTACTCCAATAACAGTATTTTCAACTACAGTCGAGATGATGTATTGATTCAGTAGTAAAATTATTGTTACTCTAAAGAGTAGGTTATAAATTCAATTTCTCTCACTTTAGAGATGGAAACTTCAACTTAAATTAAAAAAAAAAATAGATAAAAAAAATAAAAAACTACTGTCGAGTTCGGCTAGCCAAAAAATAATTACTTCGACTTGCAAAAATGGAACACAAGTACATAACTTGACTACAGGATGACCATCCCATCTGAACTTGAATGCATGGAGGCCAAATGCGCTACAAGCACCCCAAACGGTTGTGTAATTGGCATCCATGCATTATGAAATCTGCTCCAACAAACTACTGGTCTTCTCCATTTCCACGTCGATCGGGGTGGGTTGTCTTTGGTTTGGTACCACATCCCAAGTATCAGTCTACGGCATTTTAGCCCACTTTATTAATGAGTTAATTATATCTTACAAAGCATGAAAAGAGGAAGAATGTGAATGTATTGACAAGGATTTTCAGAGTGTATTTTTGGGCACTACATGGTCTCAGAATTGTTTGTTTGACCCATTGAATTCATTAACATGGTTACAAAGCAAGTCACAATCCTATGTGTGTATACCATGTGGATATGATGAAGTCACAATCCCGCTCTCAAATATAACTCGAATAGATTTTAAAGAAGTTAACTTATTAACCGAATTACCATTTAGTAAACATGTACTGATGAAAAATCTCGCCCCTATTCTTGATTCCCTTTCAGATTATGTACTCCTCTGTCCCAAAATTATTGTCTATTTTAATTTACTTCTGATATAATTAGTTTATACTCGTGCGTTGCATGGATTGATAATTCGTTCTTGTTTAAATATGAAGAATAATGAGGAATAATGTTTTACAATTATGAAACTTTCAATTTTGATGCGGTAAAAACACGAAATGTTGTATATAATGTTTGAGGACACAATAACCGATTTTTTTTGTAAAAGGTGTAAGTTTCGGTTCATGAAGAATTTATTCCTTTTTTTTCTGGTTTATCACGATTTTTGTTCGGTAATGGATTTTTTTAAAAATTATGACTATAGAAATACAAGGTGAAAATCCAAATTGGTTCTCAAACTAAAAATGAAAATCCAATCTAGACAATAATTTCAGGACGTATCTTGAATAAAATGATTTTGTCATCAATTGTATGACTAGAGAAATACGAGACCAGATGTCGTTTCTTATGCGTCTATGATATCGTGGTGTTTGTTTACCACTAGTTTTGTAACTAAGCTATGTTCTTGTATGGAATTTGGCAGCCAATTAAGCAGGCTCACCAGCTGCTTCACAAATCAGGCAAGGCCAGGAAATACAGGCATCCAAACTACACTTGTGAGTTGGCTATTTGGCTTTGCTACATACACGGGTTCGAGATTTACATGATAATGGAGTTTCTTTGTTATCAAATGATAAAACCAAACTTCTTCCGGAAGAACAAAGACAAAAAAAAAAAAAAAGAAACAAAAGAACAAAAGAGAAGTAGACACATTAATTAATCCTGAGTTGTAAAAGTCACAATTAAGGAATACGTAAGTACAACATACCTTATTGGCTTATTGCATTGTTTGTGGGGACTATTGCGCCACAATGCAGGAGAAGCTCGACATATTCTTTTAGGACCTCCAAAAAAGGTTTTATGGTGAGATTGAGAGCCATCAAGGCCCTCGTTAATAAAATTAAATGTAAAAGCAAATTTACAAAAGAGATTTGTGGCTACGAGCTGGGAGCCTGGAGGGTTCTACGTGCCAAAGTTCCCAACTGTACAAATTCAAAACATACAACGTATTCATTGCCAAAAGTGAATGTGTATAATAACTAATACTTTCATGTTATACACATTGACAAACACCCCAAAAAACCATTGGTCAATATACGTTT